TGTTGGGATGCAACTCATCCTTCTTTTTCCTCCAAACACGATGAGTGAAGTTTAGACCAAAAAGTTCTACTTTGGTCTCATCTGACCACATGACTTTCTCCCATGCCTCCTCTGGATCATCCAGATGGTCTTTGGCAAACTTCAGACGGGCCTGGACATGTGATGACTTGAGCAGGGGAACCTTCCGTGCAATGCATGATTTGAAACCATGACAGCGTAGTGTTCTACCGACAGAACTGTGGTCCCAGCTCTCTTCATGTCATTGACCAGCTCCTCCCTATCGTTCTGGGCTGATTCCTCACCTTTCTTATAATCAGTGATACCTCACGAGGTGAGCTCTTGCATGGCGTCCCAGTCCGAGGGAGACTGACAGTCGTCTTTAGCCTCTTCCATTTTCCAACAATTGCTCCAACAGTTGATCTGTTTTCACCAAGCTGCTTGGCAATTGCCCCGTAGCCCTTTCCAGCCTTGTGGAGGTCCACAATTTTGTCTCTGGTGTCTTTTGACAGCTCTTTGGTCTTGCCCATGGTAGTAGTTGGCGTCTGACTGACTGTGGGGTGGACAGGTGTCTTTAAAGAGCTCAGACAGGTGCTACTAATTTAGATTAATGAGTGGAGTAGAGGTGGACTTTTTCAAGGCACAGTAACAGGTCTTTGAGAGCCAGAATTCTTGCTGTTTCTCAGGTGTTCAAATACTTATGTTCAGCAGTGCAAGACAAATAAATTCTTTAAAAATCATACAATGTGATTTCCTGAATTTTTTTTTTTATTCTGTCTCTCAGAGTGGGAATGCACCTACAATGTGAATTTCAGACCCCTCCATGATTTCTAAGTGGGAGAACTTGCAAAATCGCAGGGTGTTCAAATACTTCTGTTCCTCACTGTATAAAGAGGCTTAGGTGTCCTTATGCTAATGTGTTTATCCCCTTGAGCTAAACAGATCTGAATAATGGCATTTATAGTGCCTGGCAGGACATCGACATTCCAGCTGGTGCTGCCTTCGAGGATGGCATGGCCACACTCGGAGACAGATCACTCTTGTCTTCACTGCTCATAAAGACTGTTACCTCAAACATGGGACTGCCAATCATTATAAAGCCTCTCTTAAATCTATCAGCTTTTTCTCTCTCTGTGTGTGTAAAAGATGTGTGTAGCAATGGCCGTCTGTGCACTTGCTCCCAGCTGTGTGTGTGTGTCTGTGTGTTTGCATGTGCACCCTTCTTGGCTGGTTTATGTAAGTGCACTAATCTGGTAGGCTTTGCTTGGGTGCAGGCAGGCAGGCAGTCATCTGGATAATGGCCCCTGCTCTGTTTGCTGGATGAACCCATTTTAAGGAGCAGCAGGTAGAGAATGCCATATTATTTTTTCTCTCCTCTCCACTGTTGCTCCATCTTTCTCTCATTTTGTCCATCTCTCTTGAATGGGAGATGGCAGCGACCCAGATTGGCAAGAGCTGTGGAAGATTTGGCAAGCGCCTCTTTCCCCCACTCACTTTCCCTGTCCCCTCACTCTGTGTTGTTATAGACTAGAGAGAGGTCACATTCAAGATGAAAAGCAGGTCAGTCAGGAAAAATTTGAAAGCCTTTATGCTTTCTTGTGGTATCAACATCAACTCCCTTCTCCCCCCTCTTTCCTCTTTGCTTTCTCTCCACTTCTGTATCCTTTCCCTTTCTCCATTGTTTCTTAGGTGCAGTGGTTCTGCTCTCTCTCTAGGCTGCTCTCTCTGTTTACTCTTGGACTGCCTGAGTTGCGTCTGTGTGCTAGAGTATTAACGAGAGAGAGAGGGAGAGAAAGAGGGTTCAAGTGTGTGTACTTACTCATGCGTTTGTGTGTGTGTGTGTGTGTGTGTGTGTGTGTGTGTGTGTGTGTGTGTGTGTGTATCACAGTGCCTGCTGGCAGAGCGAAGTAGGGGGAGCGACAGACAGAGAGAGAGAGAGAGAGAGAGAGAGGAAAAAAGAGATAGAGGAGAGATCAGATGAGGGGAGAGAGAGGCTGAGTGCATAGCACCGCCCCACAGTCCCACTTTCCTGTGGAGGTCTGCCCAGACAACCGCCATTGGGGAGAGACAGCAGAGAAGGACAGACCAGCACTCACCGAAGCACAGGGAGGACAGAGTGAGCGCAAAAGGAGAGGAGAGGCCAGGAACATGTGCCATGTCAACCTGACACCGGTTCAAGTATCAAGCCAGCTGGCAGGAAGTGCGCCGAGACTGAGTTGTTTTCATCTCCTCTGCTCTGGATCGGAAGGCCCAGCCCTGAAAAGCTTCCCAGCCGGCCCTCCAGAGATCGGACTGTCTGATAGTGTTATCTACAGCAGGGCCTTGAGACAACGGCTGGAGTGATAGACATGTGACACAGAGGAACAACTACTTTCTGGCTGCACCTAGTGTTGATTGGACTTTTCCTGGGAGGAGCAAATGGGAATACCGTGTCCTGATTGGGTGTGAGGCTACCACCTGCTTCAGTACTACTGCTACTGATTGGATGTTTGTTCCATATGTGTCGCTCCAGCAGCCAAGGCCCTAGTCAACCAGAGCTGCTTGGAACTGTGGTTTGTGTGTGTGTATGCTTATAATGGAATAAACTGGATATAGTTAGAGGTCATAACAAAATGGCACAGTAAAAAAAAATTGCATTGTTATTGTCTTCACCTGCCACATCAAAAGTGCTATATGCCACAGTTTTTATCTTTTATTTCTGAGCACGTGCATGTTTGTGTGCTTTCTGGTGAGTTGGAGGATGTCTGTTTTGTAAGGCAATCTGCCCACTTCCTCCCCTCGTGTGAGAAGGCTGTAAAAGGTTATTTGCTGCTGGTCACATGTCTCAGTCCTCTCAGGGGCAAGTCAGGCCAACTAGTCTTCTTTTTTTATTTTAGAAGCAGTGCCTTTAGTGGCAGCGATGAATGTTTCAGCTGTAAAACCTCTTCCACTTTAACATTTGTCGGGTTGTCTGTGTGCAGCAGCTTTTAGATACCAGTAACTCAGATTTGAAGATCACCTTTGCTTGTTAGTTGTTTTTATACTGACATCATTAAATTCTCAGAATGACTGTGAATATTATGAGTGTTCTCACGTTTGCTGGATGATGCACAGCTTTTCTAGCCCTTTTGGCAAAAGTGTGATTTTTTTATCAGTAGGTATATATGACAGGGAGAGTTTATGACTTATGCAAGTGATAAGCATCATAGATATGGATTTGCAAGAAATGGATTGAGCTGAAGAAGTGATACCAAAAGGTAAGCTTGCAAACAACTAATAGACCAGCCTTTGTTGCAGCTATCGCTTATTAATAGCATTAACCAGTAAAACATTGGTATCAGAGTTAGTCTTTCTGATTAAGACAACCCGTTGAAATGACAGGGTTGTAAACAGCCGTCCTTTCCTCTCCTTTGGCTCAACGTTCTGCTTTTTGTCCTACTGCTTCCATTAAGTGATGAGATGCAGAGACCTCTGAACCTATGTCCAAGGTTATCCCCGTACGCTCTACCCCACCTTCTCCTCAACAACCCTTTCAGAGGTTGTCCTATTTCTAGGACTTGTCAGGCTGGCACAGAAAACAAGCGGGTGGTGTAAGCTAACCTTCTTACAACACACACTGTTAATGAGCGGTCTTTAGCTAACAAGAGAGTCTGTGGGGGAAACACGAGCAAATTCCACACTATCTGTCTCTCTCACTCACTTGCACTTATACACTCACTGCTTGCTACATTCCTTCTTACACCAAGCAATTGCCTGTGTATGTGTGTTTCATGACAGGTTGATCTATCACAGCTCTGGCCCAGCGGGTACTTGTAGAGTCTTGTGTAAAGCACAGTCATGTGGCTGACTGGGTAAAGGACCAGGGTTTCTTGGAACTGGGTCACATCAAAGTCAGTTAGAAAATGACACAGAGTGACCCCAGTGGGGAGAGTTAGTGATGTCATTGGTATGACTGGTGGTTCAACACTACACCACCTCTCCCCTCTCTCTTACTGTTTCTCTCTGTATCTTTCTCTCTTTCTCTGCCTCTGCTTAGAAAGCGTATGGCATTAAGCCATGCTGCTACTGGGAGAGGGGGATGTGTCTGTGTTGCACTGTGCACTTAACTCCCAGGCTATGCTACAGTTTTGACAGCTGTATAGAGACAGATGTTAACTGATATCGAGCTACCATAGAGGGATTTCCATACTGTGCCTTCAAGATACTGTCTGGAGATTGTTTGTTTATATACTGTATAAACCAAAACAACCATTACATTTACAGTCCTTATAACATGTGCATTTTGCACAGCTTACATCATTCTTTTTACAACTGCAAGGATAGAATTTGATATGGACCGGAGACGTAGTTGTGCAAGGCCATGCCATTCGTGCCTTACTCTTAGTTCCTGTCCTAATTCCTCTGTCTGTCCATCTCTTTATTTCAGGCCTTCTCCAGTATGGTAGGAATTGGTCCGCGATCGCCAAGATGGTGGGATCAAAAACCGTGTCACAGTGCAAAAACTTTTACTTCAACTACAAGAAGAGGCAGAAACTGGATGAGATACTGCAGCAGCATAAAATGAAATCAGTAAGTGCAAAGAAGCTTTTTGAGCAATATTTGCTCCTTTTTTGTGCATCACCAAGCTGATTTTATTCTGGATCCGAAGATATTTGTTGCTTGGGTAGTTTTTTTTAGTGTGTTTGTTTTGACCCAGGAGAAGGAGCGAAAGGCTCGTCGTAGGGGCAAATCCCTACAGAATGAAGAGGCGAGTACCCCATATCCACCAGAGGAGGAGGAGATGGAGGGTTCAGGAGCAAGTGGCAATGAAGACGAGGCCCCCGAGGATGGAGAAGGTACACCACCAGCATTTGATCATGTTTTTAAACTTGGTGCATAAAGCAAAATGAAAGTATTTACTTGGATTTGAAAACATGTACACACACTAGATACTAGGTATACCTGTACAATTTACTCCAACCGAATTCAACAGATCTAGCACAAGTTCTACCTTTACAAATCTTATAATTGTTTTTTAAAAGGAGAATTAATGGCTGAGTTGTTTCATTGAATTATATTAGAATGTACAAGTATACCTAATAGGTGAATATAATATATCAGTGAAACTTTAAAAGTAGCTCCCTGTTAGCTTGAAGAATCTTGTTCTGCCATGGTAAACCTAAAAGTATCCTGAAAATCCTGCTGTAGTTTGTTCATATAGTGTGTTCTGTAGTTCCACAGTAAAGTGCTGAAGCCCTGGGAGATTTCATCCATCATCCCAATTGGTTTTGTGTTCCCTCTTATTGTACAGTGAAACCCGATTAGGCAGAAGACTAGCACTGTGAAGAATATGGTTTAGCAGACAGAGATGGGAGAGAAAAGATAGAAGGAAAAAAGCACAAGGAGATACATGATCTACAGTGCAAGACCAGTCTTGTCTTCTGATCTGTGTTTTTGTCTGTCCTCTGTCCCTGCCAGGTGGAGCCAACAACAGCTCTGACACAGAGAGCTTGCCCTCACCGCACTCATCTGAAGACAACAAGGCTAAGGAGGAAGGCTCAAACAGGTCAAAAGCCAACTCCAGCACTAACTCCAGCACTAACTCCAGCACTAACTCCAGCACTAACTCCAGCACTGGGGACAAGGATGCAGCTGGGTCGGACACGGGCCAGGCGAGGGATGAGAAACCTCCAGTCAAAGAAGATGCTGACTCTACCATCAAGCAAGAGATAAAGACTGAGACAGGGGAACTCAACAAAGAGCAGCTGCAGCCAACACCACCCAGTGATGCCACTGATAAAAAACCTCCCACAACAGAGATGGATGAAGTCAAAAGCTCCACCAAGAGTTCCAAGAAGGACCATGGGACCAAAACAGGCTCCCATGGAGACAGTGACTCTAGTGCCACTTGCAGCGCTGATGAAGTGGAGGAGACAGACAACACAGATAAGAACAGGTGAGTATTTCTTAGAAATTAGATTTAAAATTAGATGATTATTGTCCATTCTTGTACATGAAATTTCATGCTGTCTCTTTCCTGTTTAGTTTTATTGATGACATAATTGGGCCTGGTTGAGATTATTTGCATGAAAGGGCTTCTTTTTTTTGATCAGTGGTTTACTAGGTATTCTACTTCTCTAGTCGATCACAGCAAACACCAGAAATAAAGCAGCTAGGTGTATGTATATATATGTATGTGTATATATATATATATATATATATATATATATACACACTACCATTCAAAAAGCTTGGGGTCTATTTTGCCAGTTGTTTTTGGCATAACTTAACAGCGGAACACACTTATGGCATTCTTTTTGCATCTGAAATCAAATTGTGTTTAGAATAGATAGCTCAGTTGTAGAAGTTCTCAAAGTGTACAACTGGATAAAAGAAGACAAATTAAAGGCACTCCTTTAGAAATTATTAAAAAGCTTTTATTGAGATTGCTCTCATGATGTGGATAAAAGCAGTACATGTTCAAAAGTGGGTTGCAGCCCATGCATAGCAGCATAAAACCCCCTTCAGGGTGTAACCTGAAATACACAAGTTTCCCTTAAGTAGATGTGAGGTAATTGAAAATACCTGATGACGACAGGAAACCAACAATTAATGGCAAAGAACAAACACACTCCAGCAGATGGCTAGAGGGAACCCACACACACACACACACACACACACACACACACATAAATCCTTTTGTTTGTGAATGAGGCCACAAGAAATGGGTGTCAGTGTGTGGGAGGACTGATTAGTCTTGTTTGCACAGTATTTGTTAAACTTTTTCCATGACAGCAGACTGCATGTACTGGCAGAGCTGAGGGAAAGCTGCCCTCTCTGCCAAAGCAAACAAATGGAGAGAGTGTGCATACGTGTGTGTACACATTTTATGGTGTTGTGCATCAAAGTGTGTGTGTCTGTGATTCAGAGTTGTGTGCTTTTTGACAGATGTGTGAGACATGAATATGGATTTTTACTTGTAATTGTGTTTTTGTCCACTGTCAACACACATCCAGCATACATTACATCACACACATCCCATATATGTCTGCTGTCCCCCATCATTTAAATACATTGTTTGGTGAGTAAAGATTTGTGAAGGTGCCTGTTTGTCCTGGGGGATAGTGTAGGCAGGCATATGAATGGAAATGTAGTCACAGCCTCTGCTATTTATTTTGTTGTTGCTGCTGTTTTTTTTGTTTTTTTTTTCCTGTGCCCCCTGCCATCAGCCTCTTCATCTCTCCCACTAACTTATTTCTGTCTGTGTGTGTAGAATGGCGTCTCCACGGCCAAGCCTACTGAACTACTCTCATGATGGGGTCATGTCCTCCCCACTGCAGAAACCCATGGACCTGAAACAGCTCAAACAGAGGGCTGCTGCTATACCACCTATTGTAAGTCGCTAGTTAAGCCTTGAATGTTTCATTAGGTGTATTTTTCAAAGTTTTTCCCCTCACAGGTCACTCATCAGTTGAGTGAAGAGCATGTCAGTCTTTCTAGCCTTGGAAAGCATCTTTAACTCAAGTAGTGTTTTGTAACACAAAACTGATTTGCCCAGCTCACACAAACGCACACCATCTCTTCCACTACAATGGTATTAACGCTGTCCTCGTCTCTCTGCTCACAGAGATAACAGTGTAGCAGGCAACATTGTTAAGTCATATTTGTATAAAATAAGACAGTCAGAGGATGATTGGATAGATGGCTTTGTGGAGTAGAAATGAGATGCCAGACACTAGGGAAACCTTAGCTTACCAAGAAATAAGAGATGTTTCTTAGCTATCATGTTTATCAGATACTGTATGTTGCTAACCATATGTCAAATGCCTCTTAGGTCACACCTTGTGTGATGTGTGTGTATATATAACCTCTTTCTCCCCTCTCATCCAATGTGTAGATGCCAGAGGCCTCCATACAGGGCAGTCAGTGGAGTGGGGGAGGCAAGGCAGTGCTCCCCCCCCATGCCCTGGCACTGTACCAGCAACAGATTACCATGGCTCATGGGGAGTCCTCTCAGGAGGTCAAACAGCAGCAACAGCTTTCCAGCCACCCGGGCCAACAGCAGCCATACACCCCACAGGCCGACAGAGACAGGGAGAATCTCCACAGCAGCAGCCCTCGTGTTTGCTCACACAGCCCCTCCACTAGTGACAAGGATGGTATGCAGACCATCATCACTGCAAAAAAAAAACAACAATTTTATCGCATATAAACTCATTTAGCTGTGGGAGCCTCCCTGACAATTTCCAGCATTTGTTTCATATTGCTCTGTCTTACTGTCAAGCTACTGCATGGTGGTTGACAGTACAGTATTGTACTTTGCTGAAGTTGTTTGTTTAAAAAATTGCAGGATAAATTGATTTATGGAAACAGGATTAACAATATAAATAATTAAATAATAGAAAATGGAAATTAATGAAAGTGCTGGACATTATGCAGTTTTAGTAGCTTTTGATATAGTTTTTCTTACAGTAGTTGGTCCTTGCTACATATTCTAACCTTAAGTCTTGTGTTCTCTAGTGTTTAGGGTATTCATGTGTTTATGGGGCACTCGTGGAGAGGGAATGGATAAATGATCTGGTATTGCTAAGGACCCAGAAGGGAATATAGACAGTTCAGTGCATTCGATGTCAGCTTGTGTAATGTGAATCTCTGGGAGAACAGTATAAGGCTTTTATCAACAGTCCAGATAAAGTCAGGTGGGCACAGCAGCTTTAAGCATAACAACCACATTGTTCATGACTTTTTAGAAAGCTCTTTATAGCTGCTACAGAGGAAGGTGTACATCAAGCTACGGACTATACTAAATTCACACCATGTTATTATAATAGTAATGTGAGATAACTTTTGCGTGGATGCATTGATCTGTGGTGCGTTTGTGTCCCTTCAGAGCTGGAAGGCAACGAGAGGTGGTTACTGACCCTCCTGCAGGGATTAAGTAGGTTCAGGCCTTGCCTTCACCCATATTTCTTTCAAATTACACCTTCGGAAATCAACTTTTCTGCAGGATTTTACTGTGTGTACTCAATATTGGCAGTGGGTGGTTGTGTATGTTACTGTATTAATTCAGTAGTGTGTCACCCTGCCTGGGAAGTGGTGAAGAGGTTTCTTCTGTATGTGCTCATGATGATGACAGTGATGATGTTGGTGGCAACAGTGAGCTAGCAGTGGCAAAAGGACTGCTTCTTGGATTAGTTGAGGCCTAACTGAGTGCTGTGTTTTGATCTTGATTCCTGTTTGTGTGTCGTTTTTGCAGAAAAGTCCCGGGCTTTCTCTCCACATGGTGAAGCCAAGAAGCAGACACTGGGCCCAGATGACCTGAGGACCTCGAACTTGGGTTGCCCAGTTCTCTCCCCCATGTCTCCACGCGACATGGCCAAGATCAGTCACGACCAGCACTTGGTCCACTTCAGCTGTGAGTCCTGTCCTATTTTTAACAAGCCTAAGTTGCAATTTGTGTAGTATGTTGCATTATAGGTACTTTGAACAGAACCTCTACATTTTGAGTCTGAAATACTTATAGAAATTCAGATAGTCATATCTCACTTTCATAATCTCTCCCAGCCTACCAGCAAGGAAGCCACTCCTCACTTCCCTGTCTGCCACAGGACAGTAGGCTAGCAGCAGTGAGGCCCCTCACAATGCCAGAGCCACCACCTCTCATTTCCTCCTCTAAGCCAGGGGGCTCCATCACACAGGTATTGTGCCACATTATGGAAAACTGGGGTTGTCTTTCATAGCATTTGTTTCGATGTTTCACTATGGGATACACCCCCTCACGTATTCACAGAAGAGCTCTGAATGTCACCATGTTGATGGCATGCCAGCAGAGCTTTTTGATGACATGATCAATGGGGCTAACAACTCTACATGGAAGGAAATCATCATGGTAATGGACCTCTGTCTGCTTGTTCAGCATTGTGCCATGGGAAAATGTATGTCCATGTTGGTGCTGCAGGAGAGCACGAGATGGCTCAACCTGACCAACTTAACAGAAAAGGAGAAGGAGGACATCTTGGTCATTCCGGTTGTCCCAGATGATATCTTTGGTTCTGCCTTAGTGTCCATGCAATGGAGGTGCGAAGCAAAGAAGAAGAAGTTCTGTAGCTCTTTCACTAGCACAAAGCTCTGGCTGTTGCCCAGGTGGTCTCCAGAAATTCGGTGTATTTCTACCCTCCTCTGCAGTATGTGGGCCCAGAGCCATGTTCCTGCATCCCGGTCAAGAAGAGACTCAAACAACACCCTAGAGTCTCACAAGCACTCACACACACTTCAAATAAAGATTCAGACACTGATGCATCCAGGTACTGAGGTGAGGGCACAGTGTTACGGTTAAAAAAAAAAAAGAGATAAGCACAGGCTTCAGTTTGCCATGTTTGCAGGGCATCCGCCTGTCCACTTATCTGGATGAATGGCTGTTGCTGGCGCCCTCAGAGCCGGAGGCTGTGATGCACACAGACATCATGTTGGCACACCTGGCCGATCTAGGGTTAATTGTGAACAGGAAAAAGAGTGTGTTAATACCAAGACAGGACATAGCCTTTCTATTTCTGACACTCTTTGGTCACTTATTCGCCCCACCTCTCAGCCAAGGGAGCGAATACTTTTGTGTCCACTCTCACGCATTTCCACATAGGAAAACGAGTACAGACTGTTGGGCTGGATGGTGTCAGCATTGTTACTTGTGAAGCTGGACGGGCTTTATATGAGATATTTCCAGCATTGGGTAGCTGTTCTCAGACTGGACCCTATGCACCACAAATTCCACAGGGTAACAGTGACTGCATCATGCAGTCTTGCATGTCGCTGTTGGAAAAGGGGTCTCTTTCCAGACAGAGGGTGTTCTTCCGGGCACAGTTTTGAACAGGAAAATTGTGACAACAGATGCCTGCCATTTAGGCTAGGGCCGTGTATTCAAGGGCAGAACCGTGAACATGATATGGAGCAGGAATCTCCACTATGTCCATATCATATCATGTTTTACAAGAATATATAGAGAGGCCTGGTGCTTTCAGACAAGGGGACCGGTAATTTATTTGCTGGGCTAAACCACATAGGGGCATGCCATTACTTGTCTGGCAATACAGGAGTCTCCATATCCCATAGTGAAACATTGAAACACATTCTATGAAAGAGAACTTTGTTACGTGTGTAGCCCCGGTTCTCTCAGTAGCATGAGTGTGATGTCTCACCAGACCACTTTTCTTACTGCTGGGGTGAAGCAAGAAGAGGCGTGTTTGTTTTGAATGACAAGTTGGACCTATTTAAGGCTGAGGGCCCTGACGCCGACGTCACAGCTGCCAGCCACTCTGGTGTAATGGTATAAGTGCTTCTGTGAATACACAAGCAGGCGTATCCCATAGTGAAACATCTCACTCATGCTACTCAGGGAACCAGGGTTAAGCAAATGACCTAAAACTTTGACACGTTCGTAATTGGTCCACAGAAATCCTGAAATTTGAAAATAGCATTTTAATATATAAATTTCTGATTACATAGAATCAGAAATATAAAGTGTCCACTCTAATATTTGTTTCTTCAGGGCACTCCGGTGCAGTTGCACAGCCCAGCTCATGGTTTGGACCATGGGAAGATGGCCCCCACACAGATGGGACTGTCTTGGATGGATCAGCGGAAAGTTGGTGTGTATTGTCTGGAGGGACGAGTGCACTTCTAGTTCTTTCTTGAAAGTTGCCACATCTATGAAAACTGATACTGTGGTCTGATCTGTTGCATCATCATAGATGTGTCTTTTTCATTGCGGTCTCTCTGGTCATTCTTTGTTCGTGCACTGTACAGCAGGTCCTTTCCCCATGGTGAAGCAGGAACAGTTGTCCCCCCACAGCTCATCCTCCCAAGCTGACAGCCTGTCGACGCAGGGGACACCTCTTGATGGCACTACTGGACGTGGCAAGTGGCTCATCTTTTATTCTCCTTTATTTATTTAACATGAATTGGTCAACTGGTCCTGTGTTTTTATATTTTCCTTATTTTGTGTAATTCAATGAGCAAAGAACAATACCAAGACTTTTTGGACATTAGTCAGACTTACTTTTTCCTTATTTACTTAAAACGAATTACATCTTTCCCAACAATCAAGATGCCATAAACCACTGAATAATAAAATCAGATACTGTGTTTTTCTGCATTTTTGCTGTCATGCTGAAAAGATGTACGTCCTCGGCATGACAGGAACCTGAAGCATGTAACAAGGACAACAGTAGTGACTTTGGGACAAGCCACTGAATGTACTTGAGTCGGTCGGGAGTTGAGTTCACTGAAGCTCATCTATCTTACAGAGCTTGAAAAATGGAAGAAACTGCCCAAATCTGTGTGTGCAAAGCAGGAACATACATGCTGAAAAAGCTTCAGACTGTAATTGCTGCCAGTGATGCATCAATATTCAGTTTTCTTTTTCAAAATAAACCTTTACTAAACCTTTCAGTCTGACATCACTAGGCAAAGTGTGTAGATAAAAAATGTACTTAATAGATAATACAAAAAGATTTTACACAATGAAAAGGGAAACTGGTAGCATTTGCTTTGGTTGCAGCTGTGCTCACTGTACAGGCTTGTTGGGGAACCTTGCAGAACCTTTTCACAAACCTTATTTTCCTTGTGTTTGTTTACATTGTGTTCCATTTTAACTACTCTTACTACAGTTTTACACTTTGGCTTATAGTGACTGAAATTTCTTTTGCACTATCTTTATAGCTTCGATTCCAGCTGTTCAGGGTGGTAGTATCACTAAGGGCATCCCTGGGACCAGAATGCATCCAGATTCCTCAGTCTCTTACCGAGGGGGCTCCATTACTCAGGTGAACTCAAACACACAAACTACTGTGCTATCAGGCTGCTGTCAGGAGTTGGGAAGGTCCGCGTTGAGTTTTTCTCTCTCTCTCTGCTGAACTCACTAAAATTTTGAAGTGGACACTTTATATTTTTATAAATTGTATTATATTTTTCTTCATAACAAAGTTGATGATGGAAAACAATCTACAGATAATCCCCTACCAGCTCTGTTTTTACTCTCACTGTAACTGAATGTTCTGTATGTGCCGTTTATTGTCACCATGTAGGGTGCGGTGATCATGATCTCAGTGTGTTATGAATATTCTGCTGACAATGTTCAGCTTTGAGTAGCGCTGTTACAACAGACAACAGTTCTGTTCCCCTTTATTTGGAGAACTTCTGACAAAACTCTGAAGTCAGTTTAAAAATGAACCACTGTGAATGAGCCATTGAGTAGATTTAGGAGAGGCTTGTTATTATATATAGGATGATGTTTGGCCCAGAATTTCACCTCAGATTACTGTGCTGAAGTGGTGCACTCAGGCTAATGTGAGTTGGTTTGTCTAGACACTGATGGATGTAAATGGTTTTTTAAACTGTGTTAATGTTCATCAAATCACCGTTTTTATGCTTGGTACACACACAGCCCATGTTCAGTGTTTGTAATTGCCTTGACCATTTCTGTTGGTTAACACTTCTTTTGCCTATATCACTGCTGTCATTTATGCCTACCCATTCCATTTAAAGCACTGCCAACAAACTTAGCAGCCCTTGTGTTCCTGGGTGTTGATTTGTGTGCTCTTGATGAAAGAGACAACAGAGCTGTTGAGAGGTCATGTGGCAGGCCAAGTGCTGTGGCCGCTGGATTTCCCTGCTACCGTGACATAACCCCAGCCCGGAGTGGCCCGTCACCCTAGCAACAAGTACACAGTGTACCGTGTCTGTTCCTCCTTTTATCTATTTATTTACTCTAGATGCTCGCTAAGCTCAGTCATTGATATGCCCACTGTAATATCACATCCAGCTAGTATACAAAAAAATTTTGTTGAAGAAGCTGTTATCCACCACAATGCATTAGTAAGGTAAAGGGGAAAGGGTGAAGTATAATCAGTGCCACTGGTGAGGGGACAACTCATTTGTTTAGCTTGCAGCTAGATGGAACAGTAGATATGTGATAGTGTGTGTGTGGGTGTGCACGTGCACATGTCTGATATTACTTGCACTGTGAAGACCAAAACCTGTTTACACACTCAAATTTTGGAGACTCATCTTCCTTGTAGGGACCAGATGCTGGTCCCTGCCATGTAAATTGTTGAATTTTAGAGTGACAACATGGTTCAAGGCTAGGTTAGGGCAATTGTCCAGGAAAAGAGTACAAGTCACTATGAAGTCCCCATGGGGGATGAAAACAGTTGTGTGTGTGTGTGTGTGTGTGTGTGTGTGTGTGTGTGTGTGTGTGTAAGCAACTAGGTATGGCAGTAATCCCAGGGTGTAGATGAGAGGTGCTTTAGTCAGTGCCATCTGATCCTGTAAACAGATCCCCCCCACCACAGCAAATCCTTCCAATCTAGCCCCTGACATTCAGCAGCATCTTCTTGGAAAAGCTGGAATCAACAGATAAGAAATGTGATCTCTAGCTAACTAACATTTCATACTGGTGGCACTGGTGCCACCAAGTCTCTGAGAGGGTGCCGCCAGTGCCAGATTTGGTGGCACCACTTCAGTTTTAAAATGTAATGCACAAGAACCTGTATTTTTTTGCAAATTATTTTAAATACCCCTACCATCCAAAGTGCATAGTCTGTATTTATAATGAAATTCACAGGGATGGAAATGTGTGGAACACAGTAAATGGGAAGCTGACTTCTGGAACAAGTTTCTACATCTTTTTATGTAGGCTTGTCACTTTACTGGTCCAAAGTCCACCTCTCAACATTATGACACTGATGATGATGATGAAGATTAGGGTATTATATTTCATTTGAAGTATAAACCGATGCTTTGCCATTTGTGATTTAGCTTGTAGTCCGTTTATCTTCTGAAGAAGAATTTCTGCTTTTTGGCGATGTCTGAGTTGGACTTCAGGCACAGCTCTCTCACTCACCTGGTTAGTGCCAACTCATTTTTGTGCTAATAGTAGTATCCGACTATTTAAAGAAGGGTTGATGGTGAGTTTCAGCCACTACTAACTTCAAATTGAGACTTCACTAGACGTGAATGGCACATATGCATGAATTAAATGTTGGATCTGTTCAATCTACACTGACTCTGACCTCTGTGCGGTGTCTCTAGTCAGAACAGCTGTCTCTCAGCAGGAGGACAGCATGGTCTTCACCAGGCTCACTGGCAGTAGAAATGTACCAGGTGAAAATAGTTTTCATGTAGGCTTATCAGTAAGAAATCAGCAGCATTTATATGTATGGATTTATTAAGTTTCCGACACATAAACAGACTAACAGGTGATCTACCTGATTTAACCAGCTGTCTGTGGTGATTATGCTTCAAAAGTGTAAACAAGGGATCCAGGGATGACACGTGTACCTTGGAGTCAGTGTAGCTCGACACATTTAATAGATTGGAAGTCTCTGCCTCGTGACACAGGCGAGTGACAGACCTGCAGATAAATGTTTCGATGACAGTATCACAGAGATTGTTACTAATGTCCACCATTTCTACAGTCAGAGCAGACACGCGTGCTTAACCTGTTTATTTTACACCCAGTGCGACCTTTGAAAAAAGCCAGTCGCACCTTAAGTATATTTAGTCGCAAAATGCAACTATCATTTGCAGTCTGGAGCCCTGCAGGCACTACTGTGTCTCCTACTCAACCACCCTCTCCCACTCTCGTCTATTCACCAAGCAGTGTAGAAATATGTGTACGAGCGGTGTGACTCAAGGTTTTAACTAAGCAGCCCGTTGTCATCTACTGTTGCGAAGTGGTTACATATCCGCTCCTTCAGGGAGTACTACTTTGTATTTCACACCTGTTTGTGTTATGTGGGTTTTGTTTATTTTATTTTTTTTATGTGTGTTTTTATTTAGATCCCTGTTACCTGTCATTGAAATAACACACTTTCTGGGGCAAAAACAATTCAAGGGACAAAATGCTCATCCTCTATGTAACACAGTTTACAATTTGCATTATAGATGAATTGCATCCAAGTCAACAGTACAGTTGGGCAGTTCCTGTACAATTAGGGTTGCACCAAGGCCACATTTTTCAGACTACTTGCTGATGCCCAGTACTGATACCTACGTGATAACAATGTGGTGTTTCTGCTATAAAAAAAATACAATTACCTTAAAAGTGCAATGGCTTTAGAGTTTTTATTTTTATTAGGTTTACTTTCATATTGTGATTAGATAAAATTATCAGGAAGCTGTGCAAATTAATTTAAAACTTTGTTATAACAAACACTGCCACCTCTACAATTAATAGCTACACTGCTTTACAGAAGCTGTTTGGCCTCAGCCTGAAAGTCTACAAAAACCCAATAGATTTACATTCCCAGAGCTCACTAGACTAAACTGTGAACTACTTTTTTTGTGGGGGCTTGTTCAACAGGTGTTTGATAAACTGCTCGTACTTTTTAATTCTTGCAGATTTTGGTTGCACATATAAAGTGTCGTCATCTCACTCGCATACAATCTCGTCATCTTCGCTGTGTGTGTGTGAGATCACAAACACAACGTGTGTCTTTGAGAGCCCCCTCTCCCCATCTCAGAGACGGGGCAGGGAAGCAGAGCTTGCAGTTGGCTTCATAGCATCAGTTGTAGGCTTTGGAATGTCTTGTCAACTGTCAGGTTTATTGATGGTGCTTATTCCTAATAAAGACGGTTTAGATTATATAACAGAACTGACAATGTAGTGTAACCACACTGATATTTTAGAACTGTGAATTTTGCAGTATGCATTCAGTGGTGCAATAACCTGAGACTAGTTTGTGGGCATTGCAGCTGCAGCTGTCTGTGCAGTTGGGAGCACTACCTAGCCTCATGCTGCCCGAGAATGCAAATTTAGGTTTCACTGAGGATAGGTTCAATTTAAATTTTTTTAATGTAAAGGTGGTTGTGAAAGCTGTCCAGTTTGACAGAAATGCGGCTTGTAAATCATGCTTGCTGTTAGCCAAGTCAAAGTCCTTGCTACACTTTGTCATGTCAAAATCATGATCAGACTTTGCCTTTTTTTTTTTTTTTACTGCTGCACAGTGAGATGGTAAAGTGCACATTCCATGTCTCCTTTCCTCACCACAGGGTACACCGGCTGATGTGCTGTATAAGGGAACCATAACCCGTCTGATCACAGAGGATGGTGCTAGCCGAGCTGACAGAGAGCGTGATGAGGTGCTGTCTAAAGGGCACCTAGTCTTTGAAGGCAGCAGTGGGCACATTCTCACATTTGATCGTGAGTACCTCAGCTAGGCTACAGCAAACTTTGAGTCAGTGATTACTTTCATTTTGAGCAAGATCTGGCATCAGCCCAACAAATGGAACAGCTTCCACTGAATTAGCCTTGCAAGTAGATTTCAGTGGGCATTATCCCTACACTAAGAGGTATTATTTACCTAATTAAGAAACATCTTTACATTTGTAGGCACTGCTTCTCAGACCCCTAAAGATGAGGGCAGAGGCCCTGGGCAGCCTAGTGAGATTCTGGGCCTGAAACGTCCTTATGATGCTATGGAGGGAGGCATCTCTAGAGGACTGCCTATGAGGGAATCACTGTCTACTGCCAACTGTGAAGGTAGTACACAATCTCACTTAATGTCGCTAGAGGCTTCTGGATGTAATCATGTTTGACCCTTGTTGAATCACACTCAGCTCTCATTATTGATGAAATCATTTATCATTGTGCCACTGATGCCTCTCTACCTCAGGTCTGATTGGTCGAGCCATGCCTCATGATAGGGACAGTCCACACCACACACCTTACAAGGATGCTCACCACATCCGAGGTTCCATCTCACAAGGTAGGAGTGCGCCTCAATATAAAAAACAAGTAATTAATTTCACGTTGTCTTTCTTATTTTCCTTCCATCTTTTCCCACTATGCTGTGTCTGGTTTAAAAAAAAAATCCTACTGAATTTACATTAAAGAAGAATCTAAATGAAATGTGTGTTGTGATAACAACAGAAACAGGTTGACATTTTATTACAGTTGACATGGTAAAGTATGCATGGTTAAGCAGCTGCTCTGATTATAAGCATAGCAGATCAAAGTGGCACAGCAGGACTGGAAGAAAGTCTTAAAGATCCACACTGTGCTGTCACTTCATCAGACTGTATTCTGTGCTCATTTAGCTAGCTTACATTATGAAAAACAAAGTGAAATGTGCTGCCTACTCCTGTGAAAAATGAAACTGACATATTCTTATGATTTCAGGTATACCTCGTCATCTGGACCCTCAGGATGGATACCTGAGGAGGGAAGCTAAGCAGATGAAGAGAGACATCTCCCCGCCGCGTGGGTCTAGTTCGCTGTCTGACCCAGTGAAGGGCAGAGAGACCATGGTCCCCACGGTGAAGGAGGCTGGACGGTCCATCCACCTCATTCCCAGAGAGGAGCTAAGACAGCCTGCCAAGGAGGGCATCATAACACAGGTATTCACTCACCAACAGCACATTCAGAGGTTATCCATCCCTTATTGCTTGGCCCTCCTCTCTACACTTACTGGTTAATTCCTATTCTGCTTCTCTTCAGGGAGCACCCATGAAGCAGGATGCAGCTGGTTCAGGGAAACGTCATGATGTCCGCTCCATCATAGCCAGTTCACCACGTTCCTACCACAACCCACCCTCCCAACTGGAGATGCGTGCTGAGAGGGGCCGCTATGAAGAGGCACCAAAAGGGCGCCCCAGTGCAGTGCTCAGTTCGGCAAGCCCCATAGCCCGCTCTTCTCCCCTTACCCCGGGGTCAGAGCAGGTAGGCAAGGCTCATCATAGCCCAGTGGGCTACGAGGACAAAGGCACGTTAAGAACCCCTTACCCTGGACCCCACCATCGTGGCTCCCCTCTCTCCAGGGAGGGAAACCAAAGGCAGCATGATGGTGGGTATATCTAGTTATAGCCAAAGGAGTTGATTTGTATTTCTCAGAAAACAGTCATTGCTTTTTGCTATAGCCACATCATCTAAAATTCATTCATTCATTCATTTTCTACCGTTTGT